GAACTTGTCTTCCACAGCAATTATTTTTAGTTAGCATATAGCTAAAATCTAACCATGGTTATATAATAGCAGCTGCATTCTGATGTGATAAGCTGTATGTTTTATATTCAATTAACGTATGATCCGATTAGTCGACTAATCGAATAAATAATCGGTGATTAATTGATTATTAAATAATTGTTTGTGGCAGCGCTAGTGACCATAGTGTGGACCATGGATCTCACTGGTGACCATAGTGTGGACCATGGACGTCACTGGTGATCTTAGTGTGGACCATGGGCCTCATATGAACTTCACTGGTGACCTTATTGTGGATCTTGCTGGAACCTGACTGTGGACCATGGATCTCACTGGTGACTTTACTTTGGACCATGGACCTCATTTTTGGACTTCAATGGTCACCAATGAAGTCCAAAATGAGGTCCATGGTCCACACTAATGTGGACCATGGACCTCACTGGTGACCATAGTGTGGACCATGGATCTCACTGGTGACCATAGTGTGGACCATGGATCTCACTGGTGACCTTTAGTGTGGACCATGGATCTCACTGGTGACCTTTAGTGTGGACCATGGATCTCACTGGTGACCTTTAGTGTGGACCATGGATCTCACTGATGACCTTAGTGTGGACCATGGATCTCACTGATGACCTTAGTGTGGACCATGGATCTCACTGATGACCTTAGTGTGGACCATGGATCTCACTGGTGACCTTAGTGTGGACCATGGATCTCACTACTACTCTCACTGGTGGCTTTGAGCTCCAGCATTTATGATGTGCCAAAGTGTACTTGTGAAAGACACTGTTTCCACTCCACTGTCAAGTTTGTATTTCAACGAGTAATGACGGAGTATCCAATGAGACACAGCCACAGCTGCTGTGTGTGTGAACACTGACCTGGACTCGGGGTACTTGGTGAGTGTGGCCAGGCTGCTGGTGTACATGTGACCTCCCACATCAATGTGAACGGGTGCGTTGGTTTTATTCAGCTGGGCTGGAGTGGGAAGTCTAGAGGAGCCCACAGGAGACCCCAGCTGCTGACTCCATCCACTGCTGCTGCCTCGGCCGTCCTGTTACACACACACACACACACACACACACACACACACACAC